CTGCCACTGCAGCCCCTCTTCTTGTCGGGGTGGCAGCCGGGGGGGGGGATGCCAGGCAGGGGCAGCATGGGGGTCCCATGCAAGGACAGGGATGCCTAGCAGCAGGCAGGACCGCAGGGACCACAGGGAGAAGTGCGTGCGGGCGCAGCAGCAGGAGAAGGTTTAAGGGCAGGACCCCACCAGCCTCCCGTGCCAAAGGAGGTGCTCCCCCACCACTAGATAACAAGACTAATAGCAGCGCACAGTGAAAATGCAGACGGGCAGTGCTCACTGCCACACACATGCTGTGCCTTTTGCAGGCAAGGCTGACCACAAACTTTCCCTTCCTCTCCCCAAGTACCAGCGTACCACATCCCTGCACAGATGGAGGCTGCGGTGCAGAGCAGGCAGCAGCCTGGAGAAGCCTCCACCGCACGCTCATCTCCTGAGAGGTGGCCCAGGCCCAGCACACCCAGCACATCGCCCCGAGTGCCCCCAAGTCTACAGCTCCATGGCACCACCAGCAGTGTTGGAACGGCTGATGGGAACAAAATGGATCCTGAGGTGCACGCAGCCACACTTCACCAATAACCAAGGTCATAAAGCAGCATTTTGTTATGTATAGGCACATGTATATGTGCACAAATGAACAATACAGTGCAAAAGCTGACGTCCTTTACCTCTGCTGCCCACTTCTGTCGAGATGCCTGTCAGCAGCACCCGGCACGCTCTGATTTAGCTCTGAAGTAGTTTTCCAGGTAGAAAACCTCACCTCTGTTTCCACCCTTTCCCCTTCTCCAGCAACACCACTTCAGCCACAAGTAGTTTCCATAGTTTTGTACTGCAGCCCTTGCTGAAGCAAAGCCAAGCCATACGTACCCGCCGAGCCACCCTTGTCCCGGGAGACGCATATCCTTTTCCTGGTTCTCATCCTTTATATGTTCTGGGTGCTCCCTGGCGAATGACTTCTGCTGCCTCTGACTAACAAACCAGATACCGGCTTAGGTGCTGCTTTGCGCAATTGCAGCTTCCCTGCTGAAGGCAGCCAGCTGCAAGCTTGCTGCAAGCTTGCTGCTGCTTCTGCCAGGCTCCTGCTGCCCCCTCCCCCACCTTTCCCCACCCCAGCATCCTGCAGGCCCAGAGCCCCGATGGGACACGCCGCTTTTGGTAGTGGTTTTCAGAGAAGGACAGTTTTCATTCAGGCTCCTGTGCTGCCTTAAGCAATCTGCTGCTGGAGGTGCAGCGCCTTTCTTTCATTGAGTCTGAGCATCAGCAAGAACTGACCTTAACTCCACTGGGTGACACAGGCAGTGCCTCAAGGTACAGCTAGGAAATCATACCACGCTGTGCTGGGATGAGACAGCAGCATAGTATTTCTTCTCTCCCCTTCTCCACATTCCTGGCTGTCATGGTTTAACCTCAGTTGGCAACTGAGCACCACACAGCC